TGCCACTTAGTAGCTGCTGTGTCTATATGGCACAATGTAAATTAATAAAGAGCTAAACTGTAAATTTCACACTTCTTCAACATATATAAATAGTTTGAATGCTCTATTCAAAACAGCAATGGCATAATAGTTGCTAATGCAATGTAAGTAATTCTAAAATTAATAATAATCAAGCACTATTTTAAGATTATTTTTGAAAAGAACTTCTTAGGCAAAGCTTTCATCTGCTTGAAAGTTGAATTGTTAATTCTCATGCTTTGTATAAAATGGCCCAGAAAATGCATAAAAATTGTCCAAAGAAAGCACTTATTAAAATGTCTAGAATTACAACATAATCCTCTCATACATAAGGTGAAGAGCAGACACAGTGAACCTTAATTGCTTGAAAAAACCCAACTGCATTAAGCTGCTTGTATTAAGGAAGGTCTTTCTTGGATTTGATATATATAATCACTTAGATATATACAGAATAAAGTTAAATTTACCATACTTTGCATTAAAGTAACAACCTATTTTTAATAGTTAATTTAAGAGCAATTGTGTCATGAAGATTTGTACTTATTTCTGAATCAGGCTCCATATGGAATAAAAGCTACAGCACTCCCAAAGTTGGATACAGAGATCAGCCCTAAACAAATGTAAGTACTGTATGTCATGTAATCTTTGTTCAATTTATAATGTTCAGAAGTTGAATAACTGCTTAAGTTTTCATGTTGCAAGCTTATGAAAAAATAACTGGTACAAGACTATACTATATATGACAAAATGAGATATTCTAGTATTTACTTGAGTAAGGAATTGGAGAAATAAACATAAGGACGGCCATACTGGGCTAGACCAATGGTCCATCTAGCCCAGTGTCCTGTCTTCCGACAGTGGCTAATGCCAGATGCTTCAGAGGGAATGAACGGAAGAGGGAAACTATTGAGCGATCCATCCCATCATCCAGCCCAAACAACTGGCAGTCAGAAGCTAAGGGAAACCCAGAGGAGTAGTTTTCAAACTGCAGTACATATCCCTAGGAGTACGTGAGCTCTCATCAGGGGGTATGTGAGAAAAATCCTGTAATGGCGGACAGAACATTTTATTTAGTAAGACTTGGCAATCTAATCATAGGTATATTATGGCTCTATCTCAGATGGGGGCACGTGGTAGACAACATTATTTGGAAAGGGGTACACAGTCTAAAAAGTTTGAAAACCATTGACCCAGAGAATGGGGTTGCATCCCTGACTATGTTAGCTAATAGCCATTGAAACATATGATGAGCACCAACTCATGGAATCGCCTTTGCAGGTTGGGTACTCCTCTATCAGGTTCCCTGCATTAGTTAGCATTCTCTTTGAACTCCAGCAGAGACTTTTAAGAGGTTTTTTTAAAGTAGTTTCTTTAATCCCTCCCCCCCCCCCCCACCCCCTAGCAATTTGGGCAAGGGTGAAGTTACTTGGTTTATGGCTGCTAGGGGATTAAAAGGTAATTTGTTAAAATGTGAATTGCTGGAAATCTGGGGGCATCTGGTATGAGTCAGACAATAATATAGCTTACATTTTGCTTCCAGTCCCCTGGAACCTGACTATACAAGGTGCTGAGCACACTGAAGTCAGGTTTCAGAGTAGCAGCCGTGTTAGTCTGTATCCGCAAAAAGAAAAGGAGTACATGAGGCACCTTAGAGACTAACACATTTATTTGAGCATAAGCTTTCCTGAGCTACAGCTCACTTCATCGGATGCATGCAGTGGAAAATACAGTAGGGGGATTTTATATCACAGAGAACATGAAACAATGGGTGTTACCATACACACTGTAACGAGAGTGATCAGGTAAGGTGAGCTATTACCAGGAGAAGAGAAAAAAAACCTTTTGTAGTGATAATCAAGGTGGGCCATTTCCAGCAGTTGACAAGAACGTGTAAGGAACAGTGGGGGGGAGGGAAATAAACATGGGGAAATAATTTTACTTTGTGTAATGACACATCCACTCCCAGTCTTTATTCAAGCCTAATTTAATGGTGTCCAGTTTGCAAATTAATTCCAATACAGCAGTCTCTCGTTGGAGTCTGTTTTTGAAGTTTTTTTGTTGTAATATTGCCACTTTTAGGTCTGTAATCGAGTGACCAGAGAGATTGAAGTGTTCTCCGACTGATTTTTGAATATTATAATTCTTGACGTCTGATTTGTGTCTATTTATTCTTTTACATAAAGACTGTCCGGTTTGGCCAATTACGATCCAATTGCACAATATTTTTATTAGCTGAACCATAAATACTCAGCATTGATAGCTTTAGTTTTAATGTAATGTGAAAAACAATCTTAGTTTTGTACTTTGTAATATCATAACAGAAAATAGTAATCTTTTCCTGAGGACATTGTTCATGGATTTAATAAATGGTTGAACCAGATAAGTGTTTTCTTTTCTAGTCAAATTGTTGGCCAGTCAACACATCTATTTAAAAAAGCAGAGGCACCACTTCAGGAAGCACATCGCTCTCTCAACTTTTTGGTAGTACCTGTTCAGAAAATTCATTGCTGACAGACATTTTGTTACAGTACTTTTTGAAAAAGTTCAATTGCTTTTCAAAATGTTCGTCTTACAAAATTTTGGAATTCTAGTTTTGGAAAAGTTGGATAGTTCACTCTTAATTATATACCAGAGTGAATAAAATGAAGTATGCACATTTTGATTTCATTATTGATAGAGTGGGGCAATTAGCTGTCAGAAAACATGAAAAAACTGAAAGAAAAAATTGTAACATTTTCATCCATGGTGTACATATTACATGAAGGATGTGCACAAACAAAATATTGTTTGGAACTTAATTCTGGAAAAATCAGAAAATTATCCTATATACGAGAGACCTTGCAAATAAGAGTTATTCAGTGTGGCTGATCATTAGGGGTTAAGTGTGGTTAAGCCCTGCAAATAATGCTGCACCAAGTCATCCTCTGCTTACCTTATTCTTTTCCTCCTCCTGTGAGGTACCAAATTTTTCATTTCTTTTAACTACTGGTTATATTGGCTGGGAAGTGTAGGCATCCATCCACTTTGTAGATACATTTGTTGAGTGGGAGTTGGTATATTCAGGGGTCTGCCTGAACATGGTTATAAGTGGAATAGAATTCTTGAGTCAAGAATATTGAGTGTAATCCTGGACCGACAAAAGTCAATCAGGCCAGGATTTTAGTCATTGAGATTATTTTGGGGGAGGACTATAATGGGACTATTCACATCAGTAAGGGCTACTTCACTGGGACTATGCACTGTAGTAGAGGTTTGCAGGACTGGGTCCTAAATTGCAATACTAAGTTACTGAACTTTGTATGCATAATGCTTCAGTCAGAATATTAGTCTGAGTCTGCAAGAACTACAGATTAAAAGTAATGGAAAATAATTCATCTAGGTAATGGATTTTTAACTCCTTTAGAATACTTAATCTAAATGAACACATAGTACAGGAATTAAATTAAGAGATTTAAAGAAAGAAAAACAGTCTGAAAATAAAAATGAAGCTTTGTTCTTGCATCAGAATGTATTAGATCTTGCAATTTGCATATACAAATAATTCAGCAACATTCACTGGCATTATACACACAGCAAGATCAAATTATAAATGTAATAAAAGAAAATATCAATGATAGCTGAAACTGTACAATACATACATACATTATAAAGATTTAACAAATTAAATACAATTTATTACACAGAAAAGTTTCAGTAACTTTATATTAAAAATGATACCAGGGAAATGAAAACATTTCAAAACGTTAACACAGGAGGTCAGGCTCATTTTAAAAGTTTAAAAAACATACATAAAAATACTTTTAAAAACACTGGTAATTACAGTATGCATTCTTTATTAAGGCCCCAATTCAGCAAAGCACTTAAGTGCATGTTTCAGCAGCAGAAGGCCAATGGTACTTCAGCACATGCTTAAGTGATTTGCTGAATAGAGATAGACTTAACGTATATATTTAAATGCTTTAATGAATTGGGGCCTAATGTAACACATGAAAATAGACAGTAAAGTAAGTCACATAGTGACCAATAATGACTACGGACCAGAATTTACATTTTCTAATCCCTATTTGGCATTTTAATGCAATTCCATGCGATACAGAAAATTTATGAAGAGATAATCCTTCTATATATTTATTAGACTGTTGTATTAAGTACAACAACCTTATTTGTACCGTGACTAAAAAAGAATATTTGACTAAAAAGAATTGGAAAACAAGCTTTCTAAATTATAATAAGAAAATGTCATTGCTTAGCTTATTTCTCACTTCTGAAATATTTTTATGGGTACTTCTGTTACGTCTTAGATGTCTTTATATTAAAGACAACAGGAATTTCTTGGCATTTTGTTTAATATTAATCATAGTTTTTGTTGAGTATCTGATAGCCTCCTGATGCAGGAAGTAACTTGCTGCCTTGCCTTGCATTCATTAATCAGACAGAGAGCGGAGTTCTAAACCTGTAAAAGGATCTGTTAGGGTGGACCCTTCTGAACACACGGATGTCAGTATGACTGTGCTGGCATATAGGTCTAAATTGGCAGCTCTCACTTCAGGATAACTTTTAATTATCTAACAAGGTTGTCTCCCCCTCTAAATTGAGTTCTACTCCAGGAGGCAATTGTTAGGTAATATCAAGACAAATCTACCAAACATCTGAACACAGCCAGATCTTAAGGGCTGTCCAAGGAGCACTACAGAATAAAGGGAAAATGCGAAACAAAATACGTAGACTGACTATTAGGGAAAAAAATCTCAACAGTGAGATCTACTTAGACTGTAGAATATACTCCCAAGGGAAATGGTGGAAGCATAACTGTTTGTATTTAAAACTGGACTGAGCCATCATTTGAGATTTATTGTTGGGAATAATTCTGCAATGACTGAGAGATGAAATTATTAATAGTCTCAGCATCATCAAATTTAGTATCTTATTTACATGCTCCCTATGCTACAAATATTTATATTGACCACCTTAGTGTATTGGCCTTTTGTACCTGCACGTATTTGACGACTTTCATTTTAATATATTTTCCATTTTCAAACCATGCCAGAATTGAAAGCTTATTTAACATTCTTTTCTTTAGTCAAAGATTTTTGCATTTTGAATTAATCCATTAATCTCAAACTATTTAGTCTTGCAACAAATTGTTTTAGTTGTTAAGTGCATAATTACTGTACAAATAAATATACAGCAGTGCATTACTGGGAAGACAATAAGCAGTAAATGGCAGTATTCAAAACTGTGCTTAAAGACTTTTAACCTGAACAATTTTCAATTCACTATGTAATAAAAGGAGAGGTGTGAACACCTTTTGTTACTCTTTGCATTATTAAAAGAATAATGAACTTTTATTTATTTCCAGATATTATAAATGAACATGGGATAGATAAATAGTGCAAGAACTAGAATGAAAACATCAGTTTAGGTATGCTTATTTTTAAATTAGGCTTTTATGTTTGCATTCAAAAATAACCAATTAAACAAGACAGAACTATTGCATATTAATATACATTAAATTAAATATTTTTATATTTATTTGTGCTCATCAATTTATATACTTTTTTAAAAGATGAGAGAGATATTTTTAAAATATTCAACATTCAGATGCCTTGTGTCTTTTGTACTTTCTGTCCCCCAAATCCTGTTTAGGTCTCTGAAATATTTCATTATATACACACATGCAAACACATAGATACCCCCTTTTGTATTAGGGAAAGATCTGATTTTTAACTATGGAGACATTATTTTAAGAATATACATTTTAAAAGAGCTTTTTCCTATCAACAGTCTTTACTGCTGATACCAGTGTGATTTCAATATTAAAATGCTTTTTCAAAAAGTTTAAGAAGTTGCTTTTATATTCTAGTCAAGTAGAGTCTCAGTCTCTCTCTCTCTCATACATATTATATCAAGCTCTGTGTCGGTGGCAACAGGAATAATGCCTCTTGCAATAGTTGACAGAAGCTCAGGTTCAGCAAAACTATTCTCAGCAGAATTTATCTTCTGACATGCAAAATATCTTCAAAATAGTGAAACTCACTCATAAATTACAAAACTGTATTTCAGTAAGGAACATTTAAAATACATTAGATTTAATAAAAAAGCAGAATAAAATGAATGTTCAAGACTACATTGAAATCAAATAATTTATTAAACTCTGTATTTACACTGAGTTATTTCTAACTGACAGCTTATCTTGAAATAAAGCTGTGTACAATATACTGACTTTAAAAAGCATGGCTGTTAAAGTTTGTTTGTAAGTTGTAGTGGAGCGTATGTTATTACACCTTGAGGACCAGATTCTGACACCCTTACTCACACTGAATAGCATCTTACTCCAGGAACAGTCTCATTGCCTTCAATCGGACTATTTGTAGAGTAAGGTGTTACTGAAGATGAGTAAGGGTGTCAGAATCTGGCTCCTAATGAACATTACTACTCATGAAATCAATTGTTTGTTATTGACCTCAGTGAGAGAAGGGTCAGAGCCAACACATTCACTATGATTCATTATTTAATATAAAATAAAAAATTGCTTTGTAAAATTTAGGGGCTGCTAAACTTGGGAAATAAAATTAATATTGATATTTTAATGTATTGGAAAATGCAAAGAGAGAAATGCAACCAAGATTTTGTTAAAAATGTATATAACATTCAACAACATATATACTGATATTTTGTATATGAACATTTATTATAATTAGCTTTTAAAAGATATTTATATTTGAGTAATTTATAATTTTATACAGCAAAAGTGACTTTTAAAGCAAAACACAGACAATATCATTTACAGTAGGAATTATCATAATGGAAAATATGATATAAATTAACATGATTTACAAATATTTTTACAGACTAAATTAAAAAATAAGGCAGGAAGTTTTATTTGAAATTAGCATAATCAGAATATATATCAATGAAATCTTGTACCACTTTGTAGCAGAATTCATACTGTTCCTAAAAAAATAAAAAAGAAATTCAGATTTACTTCGATTGTACATTATGTTTAAGTTGGAATAATCAGATTTAGGTAAATCCATAAAATGCAACATATTCTAAATTGGACAACAGCAAGTTTATGACAAAACAAATAATCTACCCTGTTGATGGTAAATTTTATATTTCTGCTCTTTGCACAAAAGGTTTTTATGCTCAATTTTATTAACTTGCAAGTTTCATAGTCTTTATTAACTGACACTATTTGTATGTAACTGAGCCTGTATGTAACTAATCCTCCGCTTCAGGGAGGATGATGGAACTGGGAGGTTGAAACAGAGGAGGTCCACAAGAGGCTTCTCTCAAAACTTAATAGACATCTATAATATGAAAGAAATTGCAAACCACTGAGCCCAATCCTGCTAAGTGCAAAGTACATTTTGGGAGGTGCAAAGCACGCTCAATTACCATTGATGTCAATAGGAGCTCTGGGTTGATCCACACCTTTCAGAACTGGGTTCACAGTGCCTTTCAAACAACCTCAAAGCACCTTACAAATGCTCTATGCATACATATTATTATGATTATTAAACAGTTATATTGTAGTAGCATGTAGAGGCCAAGTGTGGCCCTGTTGAATTCCTGCCCCAAAGAACTAACAATATGAATATTCTTTCTCATATTTTTACACACACATGGAAACCCAGCCCAGTTACAAATGAAATGCACACCTCCCAATTATAAATGAACAGCCATACTGGGTCAGACCAAAGGTCCATCTAGCCCAGTATCCTGTCTTCTGACAGTGACCAATGCCAGGAACCCCAGAGGGAATGAACAGAACAGGTAATCATCAAGTGATCCATCCCGTCGCCCATTCCCAGCTTCTAGCAAACAAAATGAAATGCAGTCACTTCTGGGTAACAGTTATTTAACAGCATACAGCAACACTGTATATTTTCTCCTTGCTCTCCCCAGTGATAAACACTGACCTCACCTGCTTCCAAGGTCATAGACCCATAATACAGTGTTTCCCAAACTTTTGAAAGCTGAGTCCCACTCCAGAAAAATAAAACCAATCTTCCCCTCGCCCCATGCAATGCTGCCGTTTGTTGTTAAAGACCTATCCATCTTAAATTTATATATCTTCCACTATCCCCTGGCTAGTTCTTCGTCCCTCCAAGGGAGGCACATTCCACACTTTTGGAAACACTGGTGTGAATCTTCTTAATATGATACTTTGTCTTTGTTCCTACAACACGAGGTAGTTAATGTTGACAGTAGTAAAGTATTAACACTGGCATCTGAGTTCACTCCCATTTAAATGAATGGGAGAGTTCACAGCTTGTTTTTTGGTTTTGGTTCAGGCAGACATCTCTGCATTGGTTACACTCAGGACATATTTTGAAGGTTTTCTCCACAACCATAACAGTGCTTCAATCATAGGCCTCTAGGACCCCTGAAGATATAGGCTCTATTCCTGGATCTGTCACAGAGTCCCTGTGTGCTCTTGGACAAGTCATTTAATCTTTCTGTACCTCAGTTTCCCTACCTGTAAAATGAAGAAAAAAAAATCTACCTCAGAGAAGGGTTTTGTGTAGGGCTGTCGATTAATTGTAGTTAACTCACATGATTAATTCAAAAAAATCGCAATTTAAAAATTAATTGTGATTAATCGCACTGTTAAACAATAAAATATCAATTGAAATGTATTAAATATTTTTGGATGTTTTTCTACATTCTAAAATATATTGCTTTCTATTACAACACAAAATACAAAGTGTACAGTGCTCACTTTATATTATTATTTTTATTAGAAATATTTCTACTGTAAAAATGATAAACAAAAGAAATAGTATTTTTCAATTCACCTCATACAAGTACTGTAGTGCAATCTCTTTATTGTGAAAGTGTAACTTACAAATGTAGATTTTTTTGTTACATAACTGCACTCAAAAACAGAACAATGTAAAACTTTAGATCCTACAAGTCCACTCAGTCCTACTTCTTGTTCAGCCAATTGCTAAGACAAACAAGTTTGTTTACATTTACAGGAGATACTGCTGACCGCTTCTTATTTACAATGTCACCTGAAAGTGAGAACAGGCGTTCACATGGCACTTTTATAGCCAGCCTTGCAAGGTATTAATTCCAGATATGCTAAACATTTATATGCCACTTTGGCCACCATTCCATAGGACATGCTTCCATGCTGATGATGCTTGTTAAAAAAATAATGCGTTAATTAAATTTGTGACTGAACTCCTTGGGGGAGAATTGCGTGTCTCCTGTTCTCTTTTACCTGCATTCTGCCATATATTTCATGTTATAGTAGTCTTGGATGATAACCCAGCACATGTCCGTCTTAAGAACACTTTCACAGCAGATTTGACAAAACGCAAAGAAGGTACCAATGTGAGATTTCTAAGGTTACAACACTCAACCCAACCTTTAAGAATCTGAAGTGCTTTCCAAAATCTGAGAGGGACGAGCTGTGGAGAATGCTTTCAGATGTCTTAAAAGAGCAACAATCTGATGTGGACACTACAGAACCCGAACCACCAAAAAAGAAAATCAACCTTCTGCTGGTGGCATCTGACTCAGATGATGAAAATGAACATGTGTCAGTCCGCTTTGCTTTTGGATTGTTATCGAGCAGAACCTGTCATCAGCATGGATGCATGTCTTCTGGAATCGTGGTTGAAGCATGAAGGGATATATGAATCTTTAGCGCATCTGGCACAAATATCTTGTGATGCCAGCTACAACAGTGCCATGCGAACGCCTGTTCTCACTTTCAGGTGACATTGTAAACAAGACATGGGCAGCATTATCTCTTGCAAATTGTAACCAAATTTGTTTGTATGAGCGATTGGCTGAACAAGAAGTAGGACTGAGTGGACTTGTAGGTTCTAAAGTTTTACATTGTTTTATTTTTGAATGCAGTTATTTTTTGTACATAATTCAACATTTGTAAGTTAAACTTTCATTATAAAGAGATTGCACTACAGTACTTGTATTAGGTGCACTGAAATATGCTATTTCTTGTGTTTTATACAGTGAAAATATTTGTAATAAAAAATATAAAGTGAGCACTGTACACTTTATATACTGTGTTGTAACTGAAATCAATATATCTGAAAATGTAAAAACATCCAAAAATATTTAAATAAATGGTATTCTATTATTGTTTAAAGTGTGATTAATAGCGATTATTTTTTTTAATCGCTTGACAGCCCTAGTTTTGAGATTACTGTTTGTAAAGTACTTTGAGACTGTTGAATGGAAAGTGCTAGAAATGCAATGTATTACTATTATTTATTCAAGTTAGCAGCTCCCCAGGAATCTGTGCTTGAAATTTATTGAAAAGCTATCTTCAAATATTCATAACTTTGTTAAATAAATATAACCTAAATTCTTCTAATGTTCCAAAGGCACTTCTCTGTGAGAACTAACTGCAAGTCAGTCTGATGTGTTTAAGCCATTTTTTAGATGAAAAAACACAAACATTAGTTCTTTTTAAAATAAAATGTTGATAATTTTATGATCACAACTCAAGAATGTCCCCATGGATTTTTAAAAAATCTTTCACAATCTCTCTCCAAACAAACAAAAATCAGCAGTTGGCTAACAACAAACACAGCAACTTTTACCTCCAAATTAATTTTTAGAAAGCCTATTACAAAATAAAATAGAAGTTTATAATGAAACACCTCTTGCAACCTAAGTATATAGTTGTTAAAAGTAGTCCCATAATATTATATTTACTGCAGCTAGTAAAATGAGCCTTTGTTCTCTTCCCACCATAACACTTACAAAACTTAGATCATTTGACAAAGATTCTTATTGTTAAATATCATACCAGCGTTTGCACCATATGTGGCCTTTGCATTCTTAAGCTCTTCACAGCTTGAAATACATCTAAGAGCCCTTCAGCCTTTACTCGTTCCAGAACATTGCTGAGTGCTATGAATGTACCTGTTCTTCCAGCTCCAGCACTGCAAGACAAACATATTTCTTTTGCTTAACAAAATGTCAGGACATACCCATCCAAATTACAATAATGAGCAACAAAGATACTTTGCATAATAATTAATGCAAAATATTCAAGTACAGTTATTAGCAGAATAAAAACCTCTTGCTAAGTTTATTGCTGTCATTTGCGTGGCATAACTTTCCATGTTATGATCAAGAATTAATAAAAATTAATTTTCAACCAGGCCAGTTCGGATAAAGGCCTGTCTCCTGCGAACACTTACATGCTTATTTATACAAGTGAATAATTCCATAGAAATCAAATGCACTATATGTGTGCATAAAATTAAGCACACGTATACATGTTTGTAGAACTGGGGACATAATCCCATAGACTTGAAACTTTTCTAATCTGTATTTGTCTCCAAACCAATTGAAATTTATGGTACGATCACTGTTATCTTTAACACAGAGTAGTGATTTGGGCAAATTCTTTGTTGCTTATGAAAGGGAAGTCTTGTCAATAGCTGAATCCTATTATATAGTACACCATCCCTACACATCCCTGCCAATGAATCTATTTCCTGACCTACCCCTCCTTATTATTCTAGCTATGTGTCTCCCTTGATCAGGGACTGCTCATTGTTCCAAATTATGTGATCTGAGGGGATTGATCTGTATTGGTATATTTTTCCTTCTTGATCACTTGTCTGTAAGCAGATAAGACTTCATATTTGATGGTCCAACAAGAAAATGTGGTTGTCCCAGTTGTCAGGCTCTGGCCTTATTGCTGCTGCTGTGACTGTCTAAAGGCTTTTCCCTGCATTGTTCTTGTTTTGTTCTGGACGACTTTACCAGGGTTTCTCATTTTTATTTTCTTAGTTTTAGTGTGTTTGATTCTCATTTTATCTTACAGACTTAGCTTTATCCTCAATTTAATATAAGTGAATAGGTAAAATGTATTCGTTGTGCAATTCCCTATAGACAACTACTTTTATCAGATTAAAGGCAGCTGCAAAATCTAAAAAGGTTCAGATGTATACGTAATTAGCCAATCCCTAGAAAATTAAAATATTACTGCCACTACCAAGTCTGAAACTAAGAATCAGAACTGATACTCCATATTATATATTCAAACAAAAAGTACAATTCCTAACTACTATTATGGATAAAATCCATCTAATTTGAAATGTAGCTCTGATCATGCAGAATAGCACTAGTTTAGTCCATATCTGCTGTTGCATGCACAAAGTGACTGAGTCCACTTTCTACCTTTACACTCATATTTCCCTTGTTTTTCAAATTTCAGCAGCTGATTAGATGCTTGCTGACATTATTAGTGAAAATAAAATAGGGTGGAGCTCCTTTCACTGCCATTTGACCAGTGACAAAGATGGGTTTACATTTTGTCTCCTAATTTCACTTTTGTTCAAAGTAACCAGCTACTACTAGTAGAGGCCAAGTAACAGTGATTAGGAACTGTGAGGCACACAGCCACAATGGGGGAATAATCATAAAAACCTGGATGATTCTGGGAATCTGTGATGAGGCTAAATGAAAAACTGAAAAGTTTAATTCATGTCCCTAAACCAAGGATAAATATAAAATAATTCATTAAGTTTGAGTTTTTAACATATCTTAATAATTTATAAGCAAGATGAATGGTAATCACCATCAACAGTCATTGCTTTTACTTTATTTCCATCAAATAAGAAATCTTTCTGATAAGCATGTCCTTATGAAAAGATTAAATACAATTGCATGTATCCTCAGCTGGATACATTAAAGCCTAGTAGGAGGCTAAAGTGAATAGGTAAAATGTATTAGTTGTGCAATTCCCTATAGACAATTACTTTTATCAGATTAAAGGCAGCTGCAAAATCTAAAAAAGGTTCAGATTTATACGTAATTAGCCAATCCCTAGAAAAACTGTCTAAAAGGTCGGTGAATGACTCATTCTGGAATAGATCCATAGCTGCAGGAAGATGAAAAAATGCTATAAGGATATAATAGTATGAAATACTTTGTAAACCTGTACACAGAAATAGTTAAATAGCTACTCATTCCCTTCTGTCTAAACAAAAAAAATGAAGTATCCCCTTTTATCCTGCCCCATACCATCTGCCCTCCCCGCCCCCAACTTGAGAAACTCTTTGGGCAAAACTCCACCAGAGCCACATGTTTATCTCTAAAAAATAATTTAAGTGTGATTGCATGTAGGTTCAACTTCCCTTAGAAATGCAAGATAAAAATATATGTTGTATGGTTTACAGTACAGTACTCTCCCCTTCATATTTGTTCTTCCCTCTTTTCTGTGACAACCGCTTACTGAATCTAAAGAGTTTTAAAAGAAAAAATCTTTTAGGATAATGGCCTCTGTTAATTTGGCTCACAGAATAATATTGTTTCTTGAAGGATGGAAGAATCAAAGACAAATGAAAATCTGATGGGGCAAACTGATGTGGCTACAGAAAAAATCCATTACAGTGGGGTCCTTAGGCTCCATTACAGTCTAGACGAGAATGCCACTGCAGGTGAGAAGAAATAAAGAAGAGAAAAACTCAGGCAGCTACAGAGAGGAAGAGACTGAGAACAGAAGGCAGTTACAAAGACAATATGGAGGACAAAGAACTATAAAAACTGTCTCTGGGCAACACTTTTAGTAAAACCCTTAAATATTATGTAGCTTGATATTTCTATTATCTATTATAATTGCTGTGGTCAGTCCTTGCCACTCTTAAATCTTCTGTAAATAGAATGAGGAAAATAAATAGAAACCTGTGTCCTGAAAATTGGTAATATTTAATCTAGATAGAAACATGCAAATAATAAAATTTCATTTGTTTTATTACATTATTGTTTTATTTAAATTTGGAGAGCCAAATTCATCCATACCTAACTCCATTAATTCACTGGGCTGGTGATGTATTTGGCCCACTACCTTGGGCACTGTATCCTAGGCAATGGGGAAGTTCATTAGCTTGCACTTCTTAGTTCAATGAGAGACCTATTTAAGGTCACTGGATTTACATGAACAAACATCTGATTACAGAATATTACACAAAATATAAAGTAAGATTTTAAAAGTAATGGACCTGTTCCTGTAACTGTTTGCCAGTGGCCAATACAGCAGTGTTTCTGCTTTGGAGGTCTTTACATTCTTGTTGATATGATATAAACTATAAACAAAAAGCAACTAACAGAGTTTTTCAAAATAACCATTGCTTAAATTCTAAGATTCACACAGACACAGAGTAAATGTGAATGCTGGAAATTCATGGTATATCTGTGCAAGACACAATGGGCCAAATCCTGCATACCTCACTCTAGCGAAACACCCATTAATTTCAATGGGACTTGTACCTGAGCAAGGAGTGTAGTAACAGACACCTCAATTCTCACTCAAGCAAAACTCCAAGGATATGGTCCAGGGATATGAGCAAATTCCAGCAGGAAATCTGGAATAATCTAGTAAAATGATGATACATTATTTGGATTTGTTTTAGATTTTCCAATGTTAATTGTCGTATCTTATAAGTGTGTTTACTATGTGTCTATTTGTGCCAGCTAAAGTCATTAAGCCCTTCTTCAAATACACATTTCAGCCCAAGGAGATACATTAACTGTATCAATGCTATTATTTTATTTTAAAATGTTATTTATAAATTCTTGTCAAAGGAAAAATGTAATCATTGCAGATACATACAATAAATTCATTTGTGAGCTGCAGATAACAACAGGCCTTATTGTCCCCTATATGGGCTATTTGCCAAAAGATGTTTGGTTCCCAAACTCAGTAGATCTGGAATACACACACACATGCATGAACATACACACAACCATTTGCTCAGCAGCCCTGTGAATCTGCACTTAGTTCTGCCTCCTCTTCCAGTGTCCCTGGCAGTGAAGTTGTGCTCTCAGAGGTTCTGCTACCATATCCATCCTTTGGAAGAGGCATGTTCAATATTGTGGAATGGAAAAGCAGGTGAATTAATGCGGATAAGATCTGCATTAACTTACTTGCAAAAATCCCAAAGTATCAGAGAGCTTTCAACCACTGGTCTTGCCCCCTATGCAGCCATTTGAAGGAGCGTCTAGTAGGTCAGGGCTAAAAAAGGAAAATGATATTGTACGAGGCAGCACTAGATTTCCTCACTTTGATCTCTAGGGTACTAATATTACCATCTAAGAAAATATATTCCAGTTTTTCCACAATTCTCACATTTCAAGTAGGACTGTATTATTTTTAAAAAATAGGAATAAATGCTAATTAGTACAACCTCTTTACCCACATATATACAAACGCTAGAGATTGAAAAACAATTCACAGACTGCATCAAAAAAGAAATGGGAAAAATCTGGGTTATGATAAACTTCCTTACACAAAATTCAGAGATAAACAAAGTAACAAAACCATATCACCCCTCCTCATTGTCAGGTTTCATATCATCAGAGCTCTCGAGTAATATTTTATTTAAGAGGATTCTGCCTCATCAGACTCAGTGAAAATGTCTGTTTTTTTCCTTCTGAGATAATATATATTTTGGCCAGGGGAAGAACTGCTCCTGTGCACTGTGAGATGTTTCCTCTGTTGATAAGTTATTTATGAAATTGCAGAAAATATCATAACCTTGCCTCTCCTCACCTTTTAAACCAACATCCAACCCCCTACACCACTTTTTCCTCATCTGAGAGGCATTTTAAAACTGCAGATAAGGTAGGAAACATGACTTGGGGCCAAGGATTTTAGGTTTTCACTTTTTACTCTAGACAGTCTAAACTTTAGACATTTCTCAGTAAACCTCCAGTCACTGCATCCCTCCCTTGTAATCAGAGATTTTGCTCTCAAGAACCAAAGTAAACACTCAGCATTTGGGAGTTCCTCTTTTGCCCTTTTTGGAGGCACAACTAAAAACGAAAAATCATTGTCTCACATATGAACCACCAAGAGTTATTCACTTCCAGCACTTCACTACTTTTCATTGCCCAGTTTTGTTTTTAAGAACTTGATTGTAATGTTTAA